GGGGCAGTTACAACTGAACAATGTGCGCTTTAGCTAAAATAGCAATTTCACTGTGACATCCACCGCTACAGTCATGTTACTACTGACTGCTGTGCCAATTGTTGAAGCTGAGGCTCTCGGTTCTAGGATGAGGACAACAAATGCAGTTTCACACTGTGGCTGCTACTAAGGAGAAGACTGGAGGTGTTGCTAGGGGACATGTTACTGCCACCACATCATATATATTCCATCTCCCTTGCGGAGGACAGCCACTGGCAATGCTTGGTGTGCGCAACACTCTCTCTTTGCCCTCACATCGTTGCCTTGTGTGGGAGGAGGTGGGCAGAGAGAGGAGATGCAAGGTGATGTCACCATGCAGAACTTGTTTTTGTTAGGTGTGACAAGGAAGATTAAGAAAAGTAATATAGCAGCCATACTAGCAGCTGTATTTCATCTGTTCCTGAGACTCTAGGTAAAAATATTGCTGTGCTAATCTGGTAGGTCAGAGAATCTAGTGATTAGGCAAGCTACTTTGAGGTTTTCTACTCCAGTCTTAGGTGTGCCTATTTAGAAACAAATTACTGCGATTTTAATGAAATGTGCCTTCAGCCAAATATGAAAATTATACACATGTTTATTTGTAAGTCACATGGAATTCTTTTGAATTTACATCAATGTAAAAACGTATTTACAAAAATGATTTTTTACAGTAGTAACTGGTGGCAGTAAGGAGAAGAGTTGGTGATCTTGTAAAACAAAAAAGCACTCCTGCTTTAACTTAGAAAGTATGAATGCATTGTATTTCAGGGAGAATAATTTTAGTGCTGGTGCCATGAAAAATATGTATCGATAAACAAAGATGTGTGAAGTTTCTGTAACCTGTTAAGAAGATTTTGCTTCCAGGACTGAGACTCCAGAATACTGACTGAGTCCAGCCTTCTGACAGCTTAAAATGCTGAGCAGAAACAGGGAGTCCATTTTGTAACAAGCTTCTCTTCAGGAGAAAGCCAGTGAGGGAACTGCAGTCAGGCTCCATTCTGCTTGCAAGCCTTATCATGAAAAGTGCAGTAGATTAATATTTAATTGTTTATTTGCTGCAAAGACTCCGCTGCCTGATGCTGGATACATGATGTGGAATGTGTGGTAGTAGGGAAGAAGCTGTCTTCCTTGTTCAAAATAACGCAAGATGGTGCTCTGTTTTGTTCTAAAAAATCCATGCAATGCCTTCCTTTAAGCTCATATTAAATCTAATGCTTATTTACATTGCAAGGCGGAAATCAAGTGGACCTTCAGAAGGGAATGCGGTAAAAGATTTTTGTTGGTGTTGCAAGGCAGATTTTCCATTGACTTTAACCCATCACATGCCTACATCAGAAGATAATTTTTAACCCTGTCTGTAGCTGATAGCATCTCAAGAGTCAAGAACCTGTCAATAGTTAACTGATATTGCAATCCTACCATTGCTGCACTAAAAGCCACCATGATGCAAAACAATCAGAGAGACCTGTAGGCACCTTAAAAACTAACACATTTATTGTTGCATAAGCTTTGTGGGCTAGGGACCACAGCATCAAGCGTTCATGAAAGCTTATGTCATAATAAATCATTTGCAATGAAGGGCTCTTATCGCTTTCCTGCAAGAGCTTAAAAATCAAGCTATGTTAGGCATATGATGCAATCTGTTGTGGAAATAATATTGCTACTTTCCTGAAGAGACCACACTAGAAAGATAAATAAATCTGTAAACATTTTAAGAGATTGAAACAAAGTCTCACAATTTGAAAAGTGCAAACTGGGCACAAAAACCAATTTTCAAAGTCAGGGTGGGGTGTAATACTATAAAAATCAATTGCAAACATTAAAAAAAATAAGGTTCAGAGGAATGTAAATTGTAGACAAGACAACTTACAGAATGTCATGTCATAAAGGTTATAGGACCACCCATCTTCAGTCCTCCTCTAGGACCTAATTTCATGGTACTTCAAATATACCGCTTGCAACAATATCATGACTTTGGCTTTGTTTGTTTAAATTGTACTAAGAGAGGGCCCGCTGATTTTTATTGGGTGCTCAGTGTGTTCTCAATAAAAAACGGAGATATACATCTCTAATAAAAAGAGATACAAAAATTCTCTGCAAATGCTGATAGAAAAAGCCTATTGGTGCCAATGGGAGATTTTGCCTATTGTAGTATAGGGACCTCCCTTTCTAAAATCATGATCATAGCAAGGTAAGAAAGCCTTTATCTTCCACCTCTCATGCTTTTTTCATACTCTGATTCCACTGCAACTAATATACTAATATAACTAAACACAATGGGCAAGTCTGCAATTGCATCGAACTGTAGGAGCAGCATTTGAGGGGCTTTAAAAGACATAATGGACAGAGATATAGCTCCATTTTGCTTGCCTTGCATTGGATGCAATTTAGCCATTGTAACGATTAAAAGTCAAAATGCTAAGATCCAACCCTGAGTTTAAAAAAAATGCATCGCTGGCCTCATTGTTGCCTTTCTATTGAAGATTAAGAATAAAGGCATACAGCCAGTATTTCTGTTGTAGATTCCAGCCATACCTACATTCCCAGTTACCCAATATTATTTTCTCTACCCTAATGCTTTTTCCCTCGTTTCCCCTCTGCTTTATCCATGTGTTACCTCCACAATCACTTTGTTGTCTTACATCTGTCTCCTCAGCATTTTTAGGTTTTGCTGATCTGTCTCCCCTCCTTCTTTCCCATCACCTCCCCTTATTTCCCTTTCTAATCTACTTTCTCCCCAGTCTCTATTGTCCACCACTCTCTCCTGGTGCTGGCCAAATTCCTTTCACTTGCCTGCATTTTCTCAGATAACAGTGAAGATTCTTCCAGTGGGTAGAAGCCAAGACCTGCCCCCTGAAGGAACTCAAGGAGGTTCTGCCATATGGAGGTTCTGGATCTGATCTATATGAAACTCTAAGTGAAGTCATGTGGAAACTTCGAATACTACCAGCAAACTGCTGACATGCCAATTTGTTTTTAATCCAGAACTTGTTGCAAGTGACTGAAATGACAAGCTGGGTGCTAATTGCTTCCATGTTCAGTTAACAATCCAGGAACACCCATTCCTATGTTGTTTCATGATACCCAAACCCAGAATCTGTTGGTTAACTATGGGTTGTTTAATCCAGAAATACCTCAGTTTTCAGGTTCAGACATCACAAAACTACCCAAGAATAGGGCACTCTTAGATGGGTAACTGAAAATGAAAGTGAACAGTGCACAGTGCATCTGTTAATTTGCTGACAGGAATTCTAGGAATAAACAACCCAGGAACTGCTACCATTATTTCTGAACAAAGTATATCTCAGCTTCATCAGGTACAGGTGAGGCACTGGAAATGTTCAATCACCCTATTAAAAGACAGGATGAGGACCCATATACTGAAACTCAATCCAGGCAAACCTGGGTACCATTAATGGGTGGCTGTCTGGGTTACTGTTACACAACATATTCTGGAAGAAGTTGCATTCTTTATAAAGCAAAGATGAAGAACTAGGGGGCCTCTGGATTAGGTTCAACTCCAGGTCCCATCATCCACAGACAGCCTGGCCAAGGGTGATGGGAACTATTGTCCAAAAACAGCTGGAGGGCCACAGGTTCTCTCCCCCTGGTGTAGGGGACTAAGCTCATAGCTTGAGTAAAGTGGATGTAGATCCATCTTTGCTATTAGAGGCATAACTGCCATCTGGATTAACTTTTATCAGTTTAGGGGAGTATACCAGCTGGAATCCTACCTGAGACTGGATGGCTACAGTGATCCATGCCCTGGTAAGTTTTCACTTAGATTACTACAGTATTTTGTGCTGCCTTTGAAGATGATCCAGAAAATGGCTGGTTTACTGCCTGGAATACAGTGTTATCAAAAATGAGAGCATTTTATCATGTTTACTGGCTCCCACTTTGACTTTGGGCCCAGTTGAAAACATTAATCTATAAAGCCATTCATAGCTTTGTGTCTGTGTATTTGAGGGAATGTTTCTTCCTGTGTATCTCTCCCTAAAATGTTGTGAACTCAGACGGCTTCAGCTATTGGGCGCTATGGAAATTAAACAGACAAACAAACCTTGAGACCAGCATCAGAGATCCGCTCTAAGCGCCCTCATGAGGTATGGAGGATGGCGATACAGCCGCAGGTTTGTTTCACTTACGGAATCCCCTCCTCAGAGAGGCGCCTGGCACTTTGTCCACATCTCAGTGCCGGATAAAATTAAAAAACGAACAAAACAACCCCACCCCACAGAGGGCCTTTTGACTATCTGCATATTTCTTTTGCATTTTGAGCAGATTTATTCTCTGAGATATTTCGGTCTTGTGTTATAGGCCTGTTTGTTTTCGCCTCCGCTGCTTTTAACTGATTGTGGCTTTAATTAATTGTTGTTGTTGTTTCCATTCATATGGTACTGAATTCTATTTCTGCTTGTATTGTGCATTTCCGTGAGCCCTAAAGACATTGTAGTTTTAGTATTTACTGGATTTTTTAGTATTTTCTGGATTATTTCGTTCTTCTACCTAAACATGTGTAGAGTGAGCAACTCCTATCAAGTTTAATGCGCGTATTCCTTAGTTACCAGGTTTAGGATTGCAGCAACCTCAGCAACTTCCTCGCATCGGTTACTGCTGATGTGAACGGGCTCTGGTCTCACCTTGCATTTATTTACATAGGCCTTCACTGAATTGCTACAGAGACTTTTTGCTTTGCATTGCATTGCAGTCTGAGCCCTTCGTTTATATTTCAGTAACCGAGGGTAAGGCTGCATGCATCTGGTGAAGCAGCCGGTAGTCCACGAAAAGAACTTGCGCCCCAGCCTCTTTGTTGCTTCCTCTCTCCCTCGGTCATTCTCTTCTCCTGGAGCACGTGACGCCCCATCCCCACTGAAAACGCCCGGCCCGGCCCGGCCCGGCCCGCTGGGCTGCGCTTCTCCTTCGAGCGGCCCCTTTCGGAGGCGTCCGCTCGCTCGCCCGCCCGCCCGCCGCCGCCGCCGCTCCCTTCCTCGTCGCAGACCAACCGCCACCCTGCCACCGGCCCCGGCCTCTCCCGCTCGCTCCCGCGGCGCAGCGGCCCTGACCAGGAGCGCGCACGCTGCCGCCACGGCTCCCTGCAGCTGCTCGTCCCGGCTCGGCTCGGCTCGTCTTGCTCCGCCGCCTGCGTTCCCTCCCGGCCTGCCCTCTCTGCCCGCTCGCCCGGGGCGAAGGAAGCCGGCCGCGGGGAGGGGCCCCAGCGCCCCGCAAGGCATCGCTCGGACGCTCGCTGAGCTCGCGCTTCTCGGACCAGCCGCCCCCACCCCGAATCCCGCAGGTAGGAGCCGCCCCGGGCCTAGCGTCGCCTTTCCGCCCCCTTGTTTTCGCAGTCGGGCAGGCGAGCGGCCGGGCAAGATGGAGCCTCGCCCAGCTGGCTCTGTGTGTACGTGCGAGAGCGAGAAGGGCCGAGGCTGTTCCCTCCTCCCGTCCCTTCGGGCGTAATTCTGGAAATGCCCCCATTTTGGGGGTGGGGTGGGGTCCTTCTTCCATCTCTCTCTCTCCACCAGTGCCCACGACTGGAATAGATTTGGGACCTCCGTCCTTGATGCGTGGGGCGGCGGGGTGCGGGGAAGAGAGATCCGGTAAGCTGCGCCACCGAACCCGAGAATACAAAAGGGAGGCTCGCCGCCCCTCTAATTTCATTTGCTCTCCAAAGAATCCCTGGCAGGATCAAGCTACGAATTTGTTGTTGCTCTGGAAGAGTAGATTTGGAACAGCCACCCGTGTTCCTGCCGTCAGAGAGGTTTATCGGATCAATCAAACAAAAAATACGCTGAGCGAAGTCCATCCTTCTGTTGCTAATTGTCTTATGAATAGAAACAAAAGGAAGGGTAAGGATAATTAGTTTGATAAACTATCTTGACTAAGGTAGAAACACGGACCTGAGAGTTGTTTACCTGCAACGAAGTGGTGGCAAAACCCATCAATCCTGTGCCCAGTCTATTTAATTTTCTCCAGTGATGAAAAGCCCCCCCCCCCCATACACAACCAGGCCATTTCCCCTGCAAAAGCTTCGGCAAGGTCGCTAATGCTCCAGTGTTCTGTGGGGCAGTGGTGGGTGGAGAGCTCTGTGGTAAGCTGCTGTCATTCTCTGTCCCTTCAGTGTTACTTAACTGCTGCTGCCCGCCCAGCTGCAACCCGAGCTAGAATTTGTTCCATCATCTTAATTAGCTTGGGGGACAGTCCTATTCTCACTTTCCTGACAATAAGCTCTGCTAAACAGTGTAGGGCTTGTTTTTTTAGCAGATATGTATAGATTGTGCAGTTAATATCCAGTACTGAATGTTAATAATATTGAATATTTGATGATTAGATTTGAATATTAGCTGTTCACTCTTTGGGAGGCGAAGGTAAGAGTTAGGGTATTTTGTGCCTTGATTTCCCATCTACTATATATTTAATATGTAATATTCTTTAGCTGTTCTTGCATTTTGGATATATCAATAAGCTTGTACTAATACACCAATAATTTGCCTTTCCTTTATATATTTTGATAAATGCAATTCACATTTATGACAATCTGCTAATTGAGTATATCTAGTTTGGATTACTGCATTGGACTACACAGCTATTAAAATATGTGCAGTCCCACTGCTTATTGCAGCAGCCTAAGTTTATGCTCATAAAAATGTATGCTGCAATCCTGCACATGCTTGTAAACCTATTGAATTTTGTGGTGCTTGCTTCTAAGTTGACAAATACTGCACTCTTAATCTTTTCAGCCCATTCAGCAACCATGACATAATGTATGATTCTGGGGTCATGTTTTATCTTACGCTGGGAATAGAAGGCAGGGAACTTTCTCCTAAATTCTGTTCAGGATATAGTTGTGAAAATAATAAAGTTTTTGGCATGCTTTAATAGTCTCTTGCTATTGTCTTCATTTTGCACCTTCAGATTATTGTTATATAATTATGCATTTGATTGATCTAAGAATCTCAATAAAAGCTGTTGAATTCCAGAGAATATACATCAAGCTGCTTTTATAATTACTGAAGTATGTGAATTGCAGATGCAATCTTTTGTTTAATGGTAAAATCCAGAAACTGCAGCATGCCAACTGTTTTTTCTCCCTTAGGAATGAAATTGACTGGGCCAGAAAATAGTTGCTTGCAAGCAAGTTCTTACCAGCAAGCACTGTAGGCTACTTCTTGAGACTTACCAGACTACTACATCTTCTGCTTTGCCCAACTTGGTGCCCTTTGGATGTATTGGACCATACCTCCCAGCATTTCCCAGCAAGCATGCCTGCTGTGAGGGTTGATGGATGTTATAGTCCAACAGATCCGGAGGGCACCAAGTTGAGGATGGTGAACGTGCAAACATAGCCTGAGGGCACATTGTGCAGCAACCTTGATGGAGTCTGGTCATTGTCTGAATAGGAAACCATCTGGAAACCTTGTGTACTTGATCTCTAGTTTCATCATGGAAGAAAGACAGAATATAAAAGGTTTTTTTTAAGTCTTGCTCTGCTCTGTGCCACAGAAACTGCAGTACACAAAGAGTAACATAGGAATTTATTGGGGTACGGTGAGGGGAAGTTCTGGATTTGCTTGATTTCAATAACTTTAATTATTTCAGTTGGGTTATTAAAAGCTAAACATGATTCTGCATTTAACCAAAGCATACCTAGTCCAGCATTCTGTTCATAAAGTGTCCTGTTAGATGCCCACAGAAAACTCACAAGTAGGACATGAGTTTGACAGCACTCTCATGCATTGTCTCGAGCAATTGCCATACAGAGGCATATTGCCTGTGATGCTAGAGATAAAATATAGCCAGTATGGCTAGGAGCCACTGAAAGCATTATTATTCATGAATGTCTAATTCCCCCTTTAAAGCCATTCAGTTAGGTGGCTATAACTTGTAGCACATTCCATAGCGTGTTTTGTGGAGAAGTAGTTTCTTCTCGTCTGAATCTCCCACTATCCATCTTCAGGGGATGACCCTGGGATCTGCTATTCTCACCATGTATGTACTGCACATCAGGGATATTGAGCCTTGTTTCAGCCCAAGAGTTGACAAATTCAGTTTTGCAGGAGCCCTCATGGGGCTGCATTCCACTGTTGAGGCAGGCCAAGTCAAAGGGGCTGAGCCATAATACTAGTATGTTTTAGTTTAAAGCTCATACTGCATATATTTAAACCTCATGAAAAGTATATCTTTTAGATTGCGAGGGGAACCTGCAAAAACAGACCAGTCAGTCTGGTTAGGGGAAAGGGGGCACTGTGATCTGGGGAGCTGGAGCGGATCAGATTTGGAACCCCAACAGGCCAGATGTTGCTTCTGTGCCTTAGATTCAGTATCCTGTTCCACTTTATCCATAATTTTATGCATATTTTTCTCTCCCCTTTTATTCCTAAGACAAACGGCTCCAATATAATCTTTTCTCATAGGAGAATTGCTGCAGCCTTTGATTATGCTGGTTGTCCTATTTTGGATGTTTTCCAGTTCTGCAATATTTTTTGAGATGTGTTGACCAGAAATGCAAGTGTGGCTGAACCAATGATTTGTATAAGGCTGGTATGATAGCGGCAGTTTTGTTTTTGGTATCTTTTCTAATTATGCCCATCACAGCAGCTGCACACTGGGTCAGTGTTTTCATCAAGCCACCCACTGCAAACCTAAGGCCTGTTCCTGTCCTGATCAGTCATTACCAGTTCAGATCTCATCAGAGTATAGTGGAGTCAGGGCATCAAACTGCATTTGGATTTGTTATTTTCACTGGATTTGTTATTTTCATGTCTATTCTCCTGGCTTGTACAGATACTTTCAGAGTACATTGCAGACCTTTTTGGTTTTAATACCCTAAATAATTTGGTTGTACCAACAAACTTGGCTCTTGCTGCCTACCTGTAATGGCTGATCATTTATGAACTCTCCCAGTTCCAATATAGTTCTAGTGTTTACATCCTTCCATTGTGAAAAATGCCCATTTTTACTCATTGTTCAATGTTCTTTAATGCATTATTGCTTTATAAGAGAGGTTGCTGCATATTCCATAATTGTTAATTTTGCTTTGGTGAAAGACTTTAAAATAACGGGAGGTTTTAAAATGTTCTTTCTTTGAAATGGCTTTACTATTTATCACCTTTCCTTGCAAAAAGTCACTGGGAAGTTAGGGTTGCTGTTCTAAACAAAATAGTAAATCCAACAACACAGTGGTGTTTACTTCTGAATAAGCATGTATAGAATTGTACTGTGAGCCTTCAAGTAATCTGAACTCCGATTTTATGCCTAAATTGATAATCATTAAGACTCCAGTCCTTCAGTCACCTGGGAACTCAATGGGAACTACACCTAGGTAGACAGGCATAGAATTGTGCTGTCAGTCAAGATAAATACAGATTATTTTGTCTGCAGAGTTAAATGGCTAACACTTCTCAGCAGGTAAATAATGTAACAATCTCCAGGTTGAGTCAGCCTGGATTCACCAGGCTGATTAATTGGAGGAGAAGCTTTGCTGGATGGTGTTTAACAGAAACAGTGGTAATAGAAACAAAGTAATTTGTTTCTGTGTTGTAGTGCACATTAATTTTGGTGGGAATCAAGCACCAGTTATTCTTAGTCTGTGTTCTTTACGATAACTCTCAGCTTTCCAGTGAATCAGGCGGACCAGTGATGGAGGACATTGTTCCATTGTGCTGCATAGGCTGTTGAGAATAGATTTTCCTAGCTGGTCTGCTGCTCTAAGAAGGCTACAGCAATGGATTTGTACCTTTAGAAGGTTGATAACTGTAGTCTCCACCTCCAATAATGTGATTACTTGTTCCAAGAATAATATAATTGCATCCAATGATGTCCCTGCACTAATCAAGGCTTTTGGATCCAACAGAAGTTTCCATTAGTGATAAAGGGATTGAGGTGATTTTTCTTATTCTGCTGTCTCCACCCCACCCCCCAAAAAATCTGCTGCAAAGGGACTTTCAGAACAGCATGAAAGGAGGTGGGGGTGATGCAGGAGGGAGGAGAAGTTGGCAAAAATGGACTGCTTTCCTATTCCGATGATGGAAGTTTCCATTGGATCAAAGAGTCTTCTGTCAGTGGAGGGTTAGCACAGGATACAACCCTATCTATGTGTTGGGAGCTTTCGGCACCACCTTGAATACCAGCTGGGGTCTGTTGAAAAGTGTATTGGCTAATACACCCAATTGTTACTGTTTTCAGTGTATTCTGTGTCAGACAGGTCAGGTAGTGAAAATTACTAAACGAATGTAAGCTTTGGGAAGGAAAGCAACAACCACATACACTGCATCCAGTAATTCCTGTAAAAAGAGCTTAAACTAGTGTAATATCTTTGTGTGCAATTCACAAATTGCTGAACAATCATTAAAGTAGTAGTCTTATGGGCCATATTACTATGTTGTTATTTATTTTAACCTAGAAACAAAATTTCCTTAAAACTTCCATATAGCTTGATGCTATTGCTTTTAATATAACTTGGGATAAGAAGAATCCTTTAATAATAAACCGGATGAGTGGGCTGTGATAACCCCATAATGATTTATTCTTGGTTTACATTTAATAATTCCTGAAAAGTGCATAGCTTATGTTCATTTAGAAATGTTTAATACACTATAAATTTTAACTGCTAATAATTGTAATGTTCATATTTTGTATAAGATTATTTGCGTTAATTCAGTTATTAGTGAAAAATGTAAAATTAATAGTAAGGCAGATAGCAGGTGTTCTTTGATAATGATTTAGAGTAACCTTTGCTTCAAAGGTGCTATTAGTTTCCTGAACCAATCTCACTAATTTTGGAGGACATTCATTGCCATAAATCAAATAATTTACTGTTGAATGCTACTAGGTTTATACATCTGTCTTAATCATTCATTTTTATTTTGATAGAAAATGATGCATCCTGTTGCAAGTAGTAACTCCCCTTTCTGTGGGTCTGGAAAGAGTTCTTGCCTTAATGATGACAACGGGACGGCCACTGATCAGTTTGATTTATACTCCTCTCAACAAACCAAGTACAGCCACACAGTCAGCCACAAGCCAATTCCATGCCAGAGACAAGATGCATTAAATGAACCTCATTTGCAGACCACAAGTGGCAGGAGTATAGAGACAAAAGATGAACTGAAGAAAAAGAAAAACCTCAACAGATCTGGTAAACGTGGAAGACCTTCGGGGACCACAAAATCAGCGGGATACAGAACAAGCACAGGTAGACCGCTGGGGACCACCAAAGCAGCTGGATTTAAGACAAGTCCAGGTAGACCTTTGGGTACAACTAAAGCTGCAGGATACAAAGTCAGCCCAGGGAGACCTCCAGGTAGCATTAAAGCTCTATCACGGCTTGCAAATCTAAGTTATACATGTAGCAGTGCGGCTTTCCCTTACTCTGTGGTGCATAACAGAGGAGTGCATGCTGCTGGTGAAACAAGTAGCAAAATCAAGCAACCCACTGAATAAAGAGGAATTAGATAACATATCCTCAGTAATTCTTTTAAATTATCTGAGTTGTGGCATGTTTTTTCACTTGTTTTGTAACTTTTCCATAACTTTCTTTCCTTCATTTTACTTTTTTAAAGAGATATCATAATCAATGTTTGTTTTGTTTACAAGTGCACTCCTTAGTGATGCTCTTGTGTATTTGCAGAAAGAATTTTCTAATATTCTAAGTGACAAAGTTATTGTCTGGCCATCTTAGTTGATTAGTTAGCAATTCAAAATAGCAGAATTCTGGCTTTTAGGTTATTTAAGATCACAATAAAGACTGGGTGAAAAATCAAATAGACTAGTAGAAGCCAATAATTCAGGACTGTTTTATCAGTAATAGCTCTAAAATGTATGTCTCCTTTCCTTTCTTTTCCTTTCTTTTCTAACTAGGAGAGAGTAGAAACTAAATTTTCCACAATTGCTGGAACTTAACACGGACCTCAGATATTTGTAGATATTTCGAAACTTCAAAACTATATTTTTAAAAATGTGGTCATTCCAGGCAGTCATCGTGTTAAAGTGCTATCAGTTTCAAGTAACTCAAACATTTAAAAAATAGTTCTTATGTAGCACCTGATACACATTCAAAGTTCTATTTTGCCATTAAAGTATGATAGCTCTCCTGGATGTGTTAACTATTGGACAGTAATTTACAGTTTATGAAAGCCTAAGACTACACATACCAAATTACTAATAATTAAATATCTGAAATGTTTTATAAGTAACTTATAAAAAGTGCTATCAAATATGGATATAATGTACAGGCATAATGAAGATAATGGCGAGATTCTGCACATTTGTGTGCTTACAAATCCAACTGATTTTAGTGATACTTAGCTTACACAGACGTGTACAGAATTGAGCCTATGTTCTAAAATCTGTCGATAGATGTATGAGTTTTAAGTGACTTTGCTATATCTGCATTGGTGGCCACAGTTTTTTTTTACAATTTCAAATATTTGGTTTGGCTGAACATTATACCTTTCAGATAGAAAATCTTGACATTTTAAATAATTTTGCCAGTAGAAGTCTTATTATTTATCACACATACTGTAGCTAAGAGAACGTATATCTACCAAAGGAAGACATTTCATGGTTCATAATTGGAAATAATACAGTTGATGCACAAGCAAGTTGCAATTTGATGTGTTTATAGAGCCCGAATATATAACAGACCATAGGAATACATCTATGCATGGAGGTGCAGAACTATAAATGCATTTTCTGACACTTTGTGCACCTAAAATAAATGTTCTACATTGAATTGGGTATGTGTTGTTATTTTTAAAAGTATGTGTGTGTGCGCGCGAGAGAGAGAGAGACAATATATAATACACACATGACATTGTAACTGACAAAGCTCTCAATATCGAATATATTCCAAATATTGCTTTAGAATTAAAGCTGTTCTAAAACTAAGTTTACATATAGTTATAGATTAAAAATCAAAATGTTTATCTTCAATACACACACACACAAACAGAAGTTAGAGATACATATTTGCAAATCTATGGGAACAGAACTCTTTCAGGTTAAATTAGAAAGATGAAAATGAACAGTATTGCTTCTTTTCTTTGTAAGATAAATGTTGTGGCCTGCTGACATTTTGATGACAACTCTGATTTCAGTAATGACAACTTAAGAAATGGATGTCATTTCATGCCTTTTTTATCAGGAAAAAAGCAGCAAGCCTTCAGGTGTTCCAGTGATGCCTAACTCATAATGAGCTGGACTTTATCCTGTATTTTATAATAGGTGTGTTGACTTGTTTTGGGGGGACTTTGTATGCACTGGCAACCATGAACCTCAACAGTACTGGAAGGCTCTTTAGTCATGTAAACTAATGGCAGCTAAACTGCTAGTAAAATAAATTTTTGCTGAAGCTATGAAGTTCATTATATATTTCCTCAAGAAACTTTGGAAGTATGAAACTTTTAATAATTTTTCCCACAGTGGTGCAACTTTTGACACATATAATGCTAATGTGAGCTAATTCACCCTCAGGACATATATTGTGTTGGGCTGTTTTGTTAGATGATTTTTCAACCAAAAGGCTGCTTCAGACACCTTCTGAACTCTCTTGGAAAGCAGCTGAATGTAATAACTACAAGAATGGCACACCTTTATGGCAAGGAGCAAGTTGCATGTCACCAGTGTACTTTGAGTAACTTTACTTCTTACCTCCTCCTGTTTTTTTCACGCTACTCTTCATTTACTTCTCACACGTGCATCCACTCAGTGGTGCCATACGGTGTGCTTGGAGTTAACTCAGAGGCATTATTGCTCCAATACAATGAATTTTGTATTCACATGTTGAAAAACTAATGAAATAACTTAAGCAATTCATGCTCGTTTATAATGCTTATTATATCAGATGGGAAACACACCCATTTGAAAGACTAATATTGTCAGTTGTGAAAAAATAAACATAAAAATCACCTCTTCAGTTGCTCTGAAGGGCAATTTAATGCCCAGGATTAATTAATGAGGCCAGAAAAACACTGTTGGGCATTCCTTGATTCCAGTTCATTTTATCCTCTGCTGCGGTTTACAAGTGCCATGCTGTGGGGGAATACACAGAAGTCAAGAACTTGAGATGTTTGAATGGTATATTCAAATATTTTTGCTACTCCTGTATATAATCAAAATACATTGTGCTTTTTTGTTCTTTTTTTGTAACACTGTCTCTTGTCATGACAAACACTGAAACAGCATGTTAATTCCTATACTTTGATATTATTGGGAAGGTGGAGGAAGAATATCCCATTCTCCCCATAGTATTACTACATGATTTGTAAAGCAAATTGATAATTTTATATTATATACATTAATTCTGCTCTTTATAAGCTAGGATTGTTGATGTGTATTGGCACTGTTTGGAAAACTACATGTCAAATTTGTGCTTTTCTTTTGATTAAACATAGCATTTTTATTTGTCTCAACTTTTGATAAAGCATTTTGCATAATTAAGTATTAATAGGGAATCTGTACTACCACTGCTACTTTAAATACATATAGAAATTGCTGTTCACTTTCTGATGAAATATACTTAAACTGTAGAACCAAATAACTTTTATTACTATTTTTGAAGTCTTGCACTGGATATTTTCCAAATCTTGACACACATATTGATAGATGTTTAATCACAAAATAAACTAATTATTGTGAAGATAGCCTTCTTTTAAAAAACTGACTTTTTTGTTCAATGCTCCGAATTTCATATTTTACAGACTTTTAAGATAAAACACCATTGATCAGATTCATCTTGCATTTGTTTTGCAGCGTAGTTTTTATTGGAAATCCTGGAACACACCCAGGCCAGAGTAATACATATAGAATGAGATATTCCTCGGTCTAAAATGCAAAAGACAATATCAGAGCATTTTTATTTTGAAGGGCTTTGAAAGGCAAAGTAGTTGAGATAACTTTACTGCTATTTCCTAAGTTGTCATTCTGCTTTTTATTACTGTATGTACAGTGCAGCACCATGCAGCTTATTTAATACAAATTTGTTGCTTGCAATCAAAGTTTTGAGGTTCTTCTTATATTCACTATGCTTTTTACTATATATTTAATGTAGTTCACACATTATATACACATTGGAAATTACTAGAGTGGCCTTTCCTTTTGATTTCTCTTCAAATAAATTTCGGTTCTGCAATGTGTAATCTATTTCATCTTGAAAGTTATCATAATGTTATAAAATTTAATCTGTGCTCACATGGGCTATTTTAAGAGTCTCATATTACACAATTTGCTTTTCCATGGGACAGGTTTTTTTTGGTGGAACCAAGTACTCATTAAGTAACATTACCCTGTCTTCTGCTGTAAAAAGTCTGATTAGATACTGTGTATGTTCTTAAGTCCATGAACTTCAGCTACTCGTGTGCAATTGTCTGTATGGGAATGGAGTAGTGTTCATGATCTGTATTTACGTCATCATATGGATGTATATTTATTAATAAAGTAATTGCTTTAAACACCAAATATGTTTCAAGTTTTGTATTTTTGCAGCATCATTCTTTTTCTCATGTGAAATAAGTTACTTGATCCCACCAAACCTTTCAGTTTGCCTGTTAAGAAACAGAATTAAGCAGCTGTTAATTCTCTGATATTTCCATTGTTTTATCCTGTAACCTTTTGGGCTGATGGGCACAGTTGAACAATTGTCATTGGCACCACCACAAAATTGCTTCCATGGAGGATGTTGTTGTCACATAGTGACTGCTACAGGTAGTTGAGAGTGAACTAAATGGTGGTGGTGGGCAGAAATAATGAGGCTCAAAGCTGTAATGGAGAAATCCTCCCTTTTCCATGTCTAGTTACTTGATTAGCCAGCCACATCCTCCATGGGAGACATTTTGTGCATGTGCCTACAGCATGTTCTCAAATGCAACTACAGGTCCATACAAGTTGGGGACTCTTGGCTTATAGTATGATCTAACATAAATTTGACATTACTTTCCCCTAATTGTTGAATGTGTGCATTGCTTTGTGGTTACTCAACACTGTATGAAGCAATACTTGCATATTATTATTATTATTATTATTATTATTATTATTATTATTATTATTATTACATTTCTATGCTGCCCCTTGCCAAAGCCTCGGGGCGGCTTACAACACAATAAATACATTGAAATACAATAGAACATAATTAATTACCATTAAATACAAAAATACAAAAAATACACTGAGTTACAAACAATATAAAATTAAAGTTATCAGTATAAAATAAGTAAATAATATAGGAGTAGAAAAGAGAAGGAAGAAGAAGTTGCCCTGGCCAGATCATATGTTTTAACAATTAAAATGTTTAAATAAAAAGGTCTTTACCTGGGGCCGAAAAACCAGTAACGACGGTGCCAGGCGGACCTCTTTGGGGAGTGAATTCCAAAGGTTGGGCACCACCGCAGAGAAAGCCCTCCTCCGAGTACTTACTCTCCTAATTTCTTTCATGGAGGGTTCGCGGAGAAGGGACTCTCCCGCAGATCTCAAAGGGCGGTCAGGCATATACAGACGTAAGCGCTCGTTCAGGTAACCAGGACCCAAGCCGTTCAGGGCTTTATAGGTCATAATCAATACCTTGAATTGGGCCCGGGCTTCAATGGGAAGCCAGTGAAGCTGACGGAGGACTGGAGTCATGTGAACATAACGCCCAGTCCCCGTCAGCAGCCTGGCAGCTCTATTTTGAACCAACTGAAGTATCTGGACCGTCTTCAAGGGCAGCCCCACGTAGAGCGCGTTACAGAAGTCAAGTCGGGAAGTCACCAACGCGTGTGTCACTGTCTCCAGGCAGTCGTTCTCCAGGTAGGGGCGCAGCTGATTAATCAGCCGAAGCTGAAGGAAGGCGCTCCTCACCACTACTGTCACCTGAGCTTCCAGTATACTTAACTCAGAATAACTTCTGTTACCTCAAGATGTTTATTTTTCTTTATCAACCTTAAAGCATTGGGGTTGTGAAAGGCCCCACAGACACAGCTTTGTCTATATGACGACAGAATGCCCACAAATATCACAATAAGAAAATAACAGGCAGTTCTGTTCAATTCAACTGTACAAATAGCTGAGTTGCTACCGTAGTTGTTCTTACCCTGTGCCACATGTTGAATCAATAGAAATTGCAAGGAAATGTGTTCCCTCCATTTCTAGACAGGGCTCTCTGCCAGGTGCAGAATTGCTGGCAGTAAAGCCACCCTATGATTTATTCATGCAAGGACCTCCAGGATTGTCGGCTTTTTTTCCCCGTACTAATGACAACATTGGTCTGATGGTTGAAGAACATGTAGGGATTCCTATGGGACTGATAGGTATTTGGTCATTATTTCTCTCATATATGAGACATCTACTTACATGATGAGACAACCGCAGCCTTCTCCTTTCCACCTTGTAGGACAGGCAAACTTTATTAAATTTATAGAATAGCTGACTCAATAGGCTTCTTTGGTGTTAAAAATCTTTCCCAAGCAGTACAATATTTTGCGCACAATTTTTTCAACAGGGAGTTTTGTATCCATTCTGTGATTTTCCCAACTAAATAGCAGAGGGATGACTTATAATATTAAAACACCATTGGACAAATTTGGCTAAAAGCCATGATTTGCAGAACTGCTTGGATTAAACACTAAGTGTTTAAAAATGTCTTTTCCCTTTCTGTGTCATATTGTTTTGCTTTGTTTCTCAAGGTTCTTCTCCATATTTAGGAGATCCTTGTTTAGCAATATGCTAAGCATTATAGTAATTTATCTGGAATTCTATGACACAAATACAATCCACTTTCTAAATGTGTAAGTTATTTAATTGTAAGATGTTTCAAGATTAAAAGCAAAATAGAACCTGTAAGATCAATTAAGTTCAACTGATTAGTATTCTATTAGGCGAATGGATCTCTTTCTATGCCATATTCTGGCTTCAATAGCATAGCATGAGAGCTGGCTAATGAATTATTTAGTAAACATTTTGCCATGATGAAAATAATTCAGTGTATTTGGAGCAGCACTTGTGCACTGCAAACCGTGCGTGGGTGGCTCACTTCTATTTCATGCTTTTCATACATTGTGCAACCAGTACGTTGAAACTGAGCCATTACATATCTGGTGGCTAGATGTGAAGCATTTTTAAAAGACAATCTAATTATCCAGGGCAGTCAGATTTGTATGTTTCATATGCTTCCTTAGAGAAGTGCAAACAATTATCCATGCATTACTTGTATTTTGCTGCAATATGGACAAGCTCCCATGGGTCATCCTCATTACATTTTATTGTAGCATCAAAACAGCCTTGGTTTAGGAGAAAAGTCCAGGTACTTCCAGATTTATTCATGTACTGAAAACTGGACAAAGCACATGGAAATGCAAGTAAAGGCACTGACTCAGCCTGTACTTCTTAAGTTATGTAACCAGTATAAAACATAATATTCAATGATTAAAAATCCTGACAACTTAAAAGCCGAGTTTAGGCTATCTCATGTTTGTTTGTTTATTCATTTATTTACAATATTTATATGCTGTCCTATTCGCAAAAAGCCTCAGGACGGCTTACGGCATAAAATAAAATACAACATAAACAAATTCCCTACCCACACTGGCTGCAGTTAAAAACATGGGAAAGACAATATTAAAACTTATTAAAATATCGCTGGAATTATGTTGCCATGATTTCCACAAAGGAAATTGGAAGTAGAAGGCTGATGCCTCAGTTTACAATGATATTGTGAAATGCCAGAAATGGTATTGGTTTACAGCAGGGGTCCTCAAACTTTTTGGCCAGGGGGCCAGTTGAAAGCTGCCAGTGCTGGGCGCGGACCGGAAAGGTGGTGCCTGGTTGTGCGCACGGGTCGGCGAGGGGGCGGGGGCAGGGGTGGTGTGTGCGGGCACGTGGGCGGAGGCGGGGGCAGGCACGCACTGCAGGGCGGGCGCACGAGGCAGCGGCTTGCTCACTTGGAGATCGTTTTCTCCAAGCGAGCAAACCGCTGCCTCCCGCGTGCAGGTCGAGGTGGGCAGCGGTGGGCGCGCACGTGAGCACGTGTGTGGTGGGTCCAAATGGGCATGGTGGGCCGGATCAGGCCCCCGGGCCGTAGTTTGAGGACCCATGGTTTACAGTTTACCCTCTTACACACTTTTTTTACTCATCTTCCATCAGTTGGATCATGGATGGTAAGCTTTGGGTTATTAGCTCAACACATACGATTTTTATAAGCAGTATGTTTTTGAGACCTGTAATAGTAAAACCATTTTTGTGACTTTACTAAAAGGGCACTCCTTTGCTGCTTAATACAGAGTCACATATTATTTTATTTATTTATTTATTAAAACATTTTTATGCCGCCCCATTCGCCGAAGCCTCGGGGCGGCTTACAACAATAAATTAATATAAACATTAAAAATCCAAAAAATACAATATAAAATAAGCCGCCCTGGCCAGATAAAATCAGTTAATACTAACAGTTAAAATACCGCTTAAATAAAAAGGTTTTCGCCTGGCGCCTGGCGCCGAAAAGCAAATAACGACGGCGCCAGGCGGACCTCTCTGGGGAGCGTGTTCCATAAGTTGGGCGCCACCGCAGAGAAAGCCCTCCTCCGAGTAGCCATCCTCCTAATTTCCTTCCCGGAGGGTTCCCGGAGAAGGGCCTCTCCCGCTGATCTCAAGGGGCGGCTTATTTTATAT